CCAGGACCCCATGACCCCCCAACTTGGAGCGCTCTTAGGAGGGCTGTAGCCCACTGGGCCAGGTCTGCATCACTACTTTCCAGGCTGAGAGTGAGCGTGGAGATCCCTTCAGCCGTAGACCCAATCCACACAGGGCCAAAGTCATCAGTCCCTCCTTCAGCAAATACTGATGAGTACCCCACAACGTGCCAGGCACTGCTCTAGGCACTGGGCTTAAAGCAGTGACCGAAACAGACAAACATCCTCGACCTCACAGTCTAGGACATTCCAGCCTTGCATTGGTAATGTGAGGCTGCTGGCTGCCCCAGGGAGTACTGTCCTCAAGGGCTCTGGGGGGCTCTGAAAATCAGGAGCTGATGGGTGAGGTCACTGTGTCTGGAGAGTTTGACAAGGTAGAGTAGGGCCCCACATTTCAGGCAGAAGTAAGGTCTGAAAGTGTGGGGAGGGAAGAGTAGCTTCCAGGCCAGCACCCTCACCACTGGTTCCTAAGCCATACGCCATCAGCCATTAGGGAGCACTGACTATATTCATTTATGTAGCAATACATGTTTTTATCACAGGTGAACATGGAGTAGTGAGGAAGTCCCTGGGATTTATCAAGCCGCCAGCTAGAAAGGAAAGCTGACTGTCGGCCAGTTTCCTTGGTTTAGTAAATCCAGAAGGCTGCACAGCACTTTACAGTTTACAAAGCGCTTTTGCATCATTTGAGCTTCATGTAGACAATTCTGTGATCTAAGTCACACATCCTCAACTTAACTCTGGGCCGTTCCATGCACCACTGCATGTCTCCCCACTTTTCTACTTAAGAACTTTTTCTGAATCTGTTAGTGACCATGGTGCCTGCACACACAGACGCAGGCTTCATGTACCGGAAATAATGCCTGGAGGAGCATGGCAGGTCCTATTTTCCCAAACTGGCTGAGGCAATACCCCCTATTCCACAAAGTCTTTTAACAATGTGACTTTGATACTCCTCCCGTGGCGAGCTGGGTCTAGGTTCCTTCCCTGGAATCTGGTAAGGCTTGGGACCACGGTGGAAATGACGACATGCAGTTCCCGAGGCAATACAGCTTCCATCTCGTTCTCTTGGGATGTGAACACTTAGAATCAAGCTGCCATGCTGTGAGGAAGCCCAACTAGTCCGCATGGAAAGACCACACAGAGAAGCCATTTGTAGGCTCCCAAATGAAGCTCCAGATGATTCCAGCCCCCAGCTGTCAAGTCACACCCACCTGCATCACCACCACCTGCAAATCTTCCCAGGAGAGGCTCAGACACTGCAGAGCAGAGACAAATCACCTCTGCAGTGCCCTTTCTAAACTCCTGCAGAATCAACAAAACAATAAAATGGTTGTTGTTCTACACCACCGAGTTTGGGTGGTTTTTTACACAGGAATCAAAAGAGCAGGGAGCAAATAATGAAGGACAGCATTTCTTTGGAGAAATGCTCCAGTCCCCTATTGTATGGGCAAGGAATTCTACAGACTTTCTGGAAGCTTAGCAGAGGTCCTGGTGAGGGCAAGTCTCCATCAACAAAAGCAGCTACTTCAATTCACTCCCTTCGTTGGATTTCCTCCTTCCCTGTTCTACTCTTCCTGCTTCTTGGGATCACCTCCCAAACGAACTATCGACACACAAGTCCTTTTCTGAGGAATCCAGCTGCAACTAGCCACAGGTCTGCCCTATAAGGCAAGTGGTTTATTCTCATTCCCATTTTGCAGATGAGAAGACTGAGGCATGGAGAGGTGAAGTGACTTGCTCAAGGCCACACAGGGAGCAAAAGGGATAAGGACCCAGGCCTCTGGTCCTGAATCCAGCTAAAGAATTGTAGATGAGAGCAAGCATGCAGGAGAAGCCCTCAGAAGCTTTGCAAAGGTTGCTCTCAGAGGCATGGTGGTTGGGAGGATATCTTATAATTCACTATCAATTGAACCCTTGGCTGCACTTACAGTATTAGATGAAAAAACCCCAAACAGGCAGCAGAGAGAGCTGTGGGCTGCTAGGCAGAGACCGCGCCCAGAAAGACCAGTGTACCTCACCAGCCCCAGGCCAGGAGGACCGCACACATTCACTCTCACTCCACCAGCATCTGATTTGAAAAGCTTCCCTTTTTACAGCATTAAGTAGATTGCTCATTAGTAAATTTAAATGTTACACTTTAAAACAAAGGTCCACATGAAGATGTTCTTTTAACAAGTTTCTAGAAAACCTGTTTGTAAAGAACCTACATAGATAGCAGGTGCTGTTTTCAGCACTTTAATCTATTTGGAATCATCCTCATTTATAAACAAGGACACTAAGGCACAGTCATTAAGTGTCTTGCCCAAGGTCACACAGAAGGTAAACAGCAGAGGAAATGATAAAATTCATAAATGGTAAAATGGTTTTCAAAATGGTAAAAGTGGTGAAATGGTAAATAGCAAAATAGTAAATGGTGAAACACTTACCAGTTTGGTCAGCCTCTGAGAGGCTGAGCTGGAAGCAAAGGTCATAGAATCACAGAACACTAAGTAGGAAGGAGCCAGGGGAGCAAATTCAAATGCCCACAAGGCGTGAAGTAGGCACAGGGCAAGACAGCTGACGGACGTGGACCAAGAGAACCAGCTCCCTGCGCCTGTCAGTTTGCAACCCTAACAAGTCTAACCATCTTAGCCTGCAGATGAGCAACTGAGACCCAAAGAGGAAGGGACTTGTCCGAGGTAACACAGCTCCAAGAGGCCAGGACCAGATCCCCGACTTTCCTCCCAGCACTGTGTCTGCAGCATAATGCACTGTGTCCCACTCAAGAAAGGGCAGGTGGGAGGTGTTTTAGATTCAAAGCCCTGAAGCCCTCCTTCTTGGCAGAGGAGTCAGAAGTTGGGATTGACTGGGATAGGACGAGAGGCTGCCCCTAAACATTTGGTTTAAATGTGGAAGCAGGAAATGCAGTGTTCCCCCTGAGCCTCAACGCATGTCCTTCCATTGAGATCTCAGTGCCCTGGTGAACTGCTTTTTGTCCTTCCAGAAGGCTTTTCTTAGCTCAGGGAATTTCCAGAAGCATGGACAGACCGAGATGTGACCTTTTCCCCAGGTTTCCCTTGCCATCGCCCTCTTCTGGCCACTCTTAGAATGAGCACAGCTTAGGGAGAGGCCAAGGCGACTGAAGATCAAGGATGACTGTGGAGCTTGCCTGGAGCCGGCTGAAATCAAGCTCCCAAGATCCTCTACTCTCCAGCCCGGCCCGCCCATCCCATCCTGTGTGCGAAGTCACAGAACACGCATGCCCTGGTTATCTAGCATTTTCTACAAAATTATTGGAGGCGAACCTGCCTTACGGTTATTCCACAAGGCTGCGACTGGGAGCTGGAGGGCTCTGCCAGACAGACCTGTGCCTCTTTCACCCGGATTTGCAGCGCCCAGCATACCAGAGGTGCTCAGTACATCCCTGAACAGACTGATGGCTTCCCGAGTCGAGGCCCCAGCTGCCCACATCGGGGCCCAGAGGCCCCAGCACATATCCAGTAGAGTCCAGGATCTGACAGGCTCACGGGATGGTTAATTCACCTCCTTTAGACCCCGCCCCATTTTCACAGCCTCAGTCTCTTTTCCCGGCAAGGTCACCACCATTCCAACAGTGCTCCAGAGACTTCTCCCTGATCATGGGCTGGGTCCCATGACAAACTGAGATACCTCGGTCGCGACATGCTACTTGCTGACATTTTCTCAAATGACCCAGGAACCAACATTTCTGCCCACCTTCCTAACTCAGAAGCCCCACCAGGTACAGCAATAGGTGGGTATTCTGGAGGACTATTCCTGCAAGGTAAGACCAGGCCCCTCAAGCCTGGTTTGAGCTTCAACCTTCAGAAGATACTCAGGTCTCGCAGCCTCTGGGTCCTCCCGCCTCCAAGTGACCTGGTCTTCCCCCGGACTCCGCCCAGTTCTGATCTGTCCGACCCCCAACCTAGCCCATAGCCGCTGCAGTAACAATACAGATCATTACAGAACCATCTCATTACTCCATTTGCAGAAAATTTTCCCATACATCATGAGACCTCCTATAATTACTGTCCCCAGTTTAGAGATGAGGCAACTGAGACTACCAGAGGTCTCCAGGGAGTGAAGAAGTGGGGCCACTGGCCACGGCGTTCCCCCAGCCCCGGCCGACCACAGCACGGGGAGAGGAGGGCGGCTGCGCTCTCCGCTCCGTGTGTTCATCTCTGCGAGCCGCCGGCCGCCGACCGCCGGCCAGGAGCGGTCCCGGCCGGAGCTCCCCAGACTCGTGGGCTCTCGGGAACCTGCGCCCGGGCCCCGGGGCCGCTGACGCCCGGAGCGCTCGGGCTCGGAGGCCACGCCCCTGGGGGCCCACGAGCCGGCTGGTGGCTCCCGGAAGGGAGTCGCGGCGCCCCGGCCCGATGTGCGCCAGAAAGACCCGCGCGTCCCGGGGAGCCGCTTCCTGAGGGATTAGAGCACGTGCCGGCTTCCATCTCCGCGACCCCCAGACCCGGACCACGCTGAGGGGGCTACAGGGAACTTGGCGGCAACGCAGGTCACGCGCATTCTCCCTCAGCTACCACTTTCCCTGTGCCCGCCGTGCAGCTTTTTGGGTTTTGTTCTTCTCTTCCCAAGAGCAGGCACGAGATCTCGGGAAACTTTGCGCACAACTTGCAAACGCGGGGAAACCGGGGCCAGGGCTCCCTCCGAGCCCGGGAGCGGCGCGCCCAGCCCCGCGCGTCCGGCGGCCGCTCGGGCGGAGCACCTGGCTGTCAGGCGGCCCGGGCGCCCGCCCTCCTCCGCTGTGGGAACGCTCCGGAGGATGCCACCCGGGGCGCGCCGCAGGCCCGCGGCCGGGACGTCCCAGCCGGAGTGGCATTGTTTTCCCGGGGAGCCGGGCAATCTCGGGGGAAGGGAGGGAGACCCGCCCCACAGACGGCCGCGCAGGCTTGCCCACCACTCATTTGCATTTCAAAGGCAAACTTCTGCCGGACTTCCCCGGCGGCGGCGGCGGCGGCGGCACCTACCGGCTTTGCACGGGTCGTGGTAATGCTCCAGCTGCTGCTCCGCGCCCTCCTCGCCTTCCAGCGCCGAATAGTCCGGGGCGGCGTCCGAGAGCTCCGCCAGCCCCCCGGCGCCGCGGGGCAGCGGCGGTAGCAGCAGCAGCAGGACAGGCAGCAGCAGGGGCACTGGGACCCCGAGAGCAGTCGCCCGGGGCATGGTTGCGAGGGGCCGACGGAGAACGAGGGAGCTGCGTGCACGGAAAGCTGCGCTCGGGCCAGGGACCGCGCACAGGGGCAGGTCGGCGGCTGCGCGGCGATTACGCACGGCTGCCCGGCATGGCTCGGGCGCGGAGCGAGCAGAGCGCGGCGCCCCGGTCCGCGTCGGGGCGCCCAGGAAGCCGCCGCTCGGAGCTTCTTGCCGGGCGGCCGAGGCTGCGGCGGCTGCGACTGTGGCGGTGGTGGCGGTGGTTGGAGCAGTGGCCGCTCCGCCCCTCTCCACCCGGGCTGGACCACACAGCCCTCGCCGGGGGCCCTGGGCAGCCAATCACTCGGGCGCCCGAGGCGAGGCCCCTCCTCTTCCCGGCACCTCCGCAACTTCGGAGGAAGGGGAGCGAGGTGAAGATGCTGAAGGCACCCACCCGGGGGCCAGCGGAGCTCCCACCGAGCCGAGGGCTCCCTTCTGCCGGCGCCACTTCGGCCTCTGGCTCCCGAGAACGTTGCTCCTGAAGATCAAGGCTGGACTTCCCGCCTTGTTTGTTGGCGTAACTCACTTTACAACTCCCTGATGCACACGTGGGCGAAGCCAGGCAGCAGTGGCGGCGGCTCCGAGCTCAGGACCAGGAGCCCGTTGTGCGCGGTCCGCGTCGTTACCAACTGGCTCTGCTTTCGGACAATCGTTTCTCCTGAGGAATGAAGTTAATCTTCTCGCTGGTAGCTTTCAGCTCAAAAAAAAAAAAAATCAAAGATTACGATTCTCTCAGCTTTCTCAACATCCCTCGTCCAGCCACGAAGGACGCTTGCTGCAGCACCCACCTCATCCAACATAGTGGCTGGTGATATGGTGCCTTAGGGCAAGAATTATTTAAAATGACAGATTTCCCCTCTTGGTGACCCTATCCTTTAGCAAAACTGTTTAAGATGCTTCATACAGGCAAAAAGATTGACAAATGAACAGCTGTACGTGCTATTTGTGTTAAATTACAGACATGTTTTTATTAAATAAGCCACTCACCATTAACTTGATGGAATAAAAATGACCAATTTCTGAAGTCTGGTTATTTTTTGCCAATTAAAAACATATGCCCAAATAATTTAGAAGAATAATCAAGAGATATTTGAAACCCACTCCCAGGTTGTACCTTAAATGTAAAAACTGTCAGAACTGAGCCATTTTGACTTATAGACATAAAAAGTACTATTACCATGAGGCATTTCAAAGACCTTTTTATGCAAGCAAAATTGCCCTAATCAAGAAGTAAAACACACCAGCGTGTAGAGATTTTTCAGCATCACGCCCAGTAGAATCTTTTTTCATTTAAACTGCAAGCAAAAAATGAACTAAACTTCCTTTTGGGTTTCCACATGATTTCACAGCCACTAATGACAAACTAGCTGACAGGGAGCCCAGAGCTGGGCTTTATATACAGGACTCTTGCATTATGGTAATCTGTCTTACCTATTAACTAGGATAACAAGTCCTTCAAATCAATAACGGTTCAAAACCTAACCACTGGAAGGTGGCTTTTGGGTATTTTGTCTTCACCCTTAAAAAGAAATCCAAGTTGACCCTGTTTCATTATTGAATGGGCACATATAGAATGGAGCCAGACTGGGCAAGATTTGATTTGGAACTCCTAAGTGGGAGAAAGAAATCTGGGGGGAATGGATGTCACCAAATGGCAGGGAAGAGGCCAAGTGGCCATTAAACAGGCGATAGGTGTGGGAAGGGGTTGAATGGCATTTCTGCCTGAATGCTGGAAGGAGTCAAACCCAACGCCATAGTTCCCTGCATTGAATCCAATGAAGGTCACCAGGTCCACATCTAAAAAGCCTAACAAACTTCTGTGACACTTCCAGGTCTCCAGATGGCACTAGGCAAAGAGGCAACTGGCTTCCTCATTAGCAGGGAACTCCTCTGGAAAGTAGGACATTACAGGAGACCTCTCGTACAAGCCCTGAGGTTGTGAGCTTTTATTGCCTCTAATCCCCACCTGGTGAGTAGCTGCCAGGTCTTCTCACCAACAGTCTTTGTCCAAATATTTTGAAGACAGTGGTGTTCCTGAATGAGCAAGCTGCACAGTTTTATGTCAGAAGCTTTGTTTTGATGCTACTTTGGCTCTCAGTCAACAAATAGCAACAAAACATTTGGATCACAGTATTGAGAGATTAGATAGGAACAGCTGAAAAGGGATGGTTAATAATTTTTATCAGCTCCATAGTTCCTGATTTCACAAATTACTTGTACATATTAAACTCTAATCTGGGTTCACATAATTTTTAAAATATATATTTTTAAATTTAAATCCCATGGGAAAACTAGAGGTAGATTTAGAATAAAAGGCTTTATGCTCTAAAGCTGCTCAGCGTAGTCCCATTACATCCATGATTATTCATAATTTTTGTGGGTTTCCTCCCCCACAGCTCATGGTCCTGTGGAAAGCCTGCCAAGTATACAAGCTTTTCCCCCCGTTTAGTCAGATGTCTATCCTCCACCCAACTCATTCCATCTATTTCCGTATACCCAGAGCAGACCAGTTCTCTTGCAGCAGCTCTCAAACCCCTGCACAACCCCTAAGTTTTATCCTCAACTACTCCACACAAGCCACTTTCTCCTCATTTTACCATTCCAGGCCACTACACATCATCATCATCTCCTCCAATGCAGTGAGCAGAACCTGTAGAATAAAGCAGGCACTCTCATCTGCTGGCTCATTCCTTTGTTTACATTACCACTGAGAAGGCAATTTGAGTTTCTTAGAGAAGGTTATTAAAATATTTAAGTTACAATCTTTAACAGCTGTTCAAAACCCCTTGTAGCTCTTCTCCAAAACCTTTATCCGAGCTCCTCCAACACACCAGAACTTACCATCTACCATCAGGCCTTCCATTCCCACTTCTAGCCTCGGCTCCTTCCACCTCTGTCCACTCTCCACTCTTGTTGCATTATTAAAGAGCCTTGCAGCCACCCTAACAGAGTCTTGCTGCTTCACACCTCCATGTCTCTGCTTGGTACAACTTGATAACCACACAGCTTGCATCCTCATGCCAACGCCTATTATAATAGCTTACCACACTTATGATACTTACCTAGGTATGTCTGCCCTACCAGACTGACCTATAACCAACCCCAACTTGGAGCTACCTTCCATATTTCACTCTCTAGACCCTCCCTTCCTGTCAATGACCTTCAAGGTTAAGTCTCAGAATCTTAGTAGCTTAGACTGAGCCACTATGAATAACCAGGAGATTGGCCAGTTAAAATGACTTACATCAACTTCTCCCTACAACCATCTCCTACACTTTGTAAATTTGAAACTTTTATCACCTTAAACATGCAGTTTTTAAAATGATTTAAAATACATCTGTAGACTATATTACCACTGACTCCACATGTCCCAGTGGAGGCACATTCCCCCTTTTTCTAATGTTAAACTGTAGATTAACAGTTTAATAAAATAGTTCTCAAAAAGAAAGGGGGAAGGCGCCTGGGTGGTTCAGTCATTAAGCGTCTGCCTTCCGCTCAGGTCATGATCCCGGGGTCCTGGGATCGAGTCCCACGTCGGGCTCCTTGCTCAGCAGGGAGCCTGCTGCTCCCCCTGCTTGTGCTCTTTCTTGCTCTGTGTCAAATAAATAAAATATTTAAAATTTCCAACCACACAAAAACTGTTCATTAGAGATCAGAAGTAATCCAAATTTATACTAACTTAAACTATATGGCCACCAGGAATTGTCAAGTATAGGTATTGACTGGGGCAGCTAATAAAATCAGGGGAAGAAAAGAACTAAGAAGGTTGACAAGGATTTCAATGACTAGTTAAAACTGGAGATGAAAAACATAAGTACCAATAGACCTGGAGAAATTACTGATTTTGATGTAGCACAATAAAAATAACCCCTTCCGTTGGTATAGAACACTCATTTTCAGTATGATCTTTACCCTATATTATCTGCTCCACAGGCTGGAGAGGTGCTATCCCCATTTTAACAGTGACAGTGATCAAGAGGACCCTAATCTAATCTTGATTACTTTCAGCTTAAAATAATATACTCTTTGGTTGCTCTAGCTTCTTTTCTAGAATATGCAGTGGTCTACCCTATCAGCTTCACAGAATGCTTGTGAGGGAACATGGGTGGCACTGCTTTGACTAGACAATGTGTGATCAGTCAGAACGACAGGCATGGGGGTAGTGGGCTTTGAGTGGAGGAGTCAGAGCTTGGACACAGAAGTCTGAAGAATGATAATAAAAGAGAAAAATAATTTTGTAAAGACAAACCTTATTCATTGTACCACCTTTTCAACTTTCTGTATATTTTTTTTTTCAAAATAATAAGTTGGGGGAAAAATCAAATCTTAAATTTTAAATCCTTCATTTCAGGGGTCAGCAAACTGTAGCCCATTGGTCACTTTTGTTGTTGTCGGATTGGATAACTGCCATGCTCACTGGTTTGTATCCTATCTACTATGGCTGCTGTGCTACAAAGGTAGAGTAGTTGCATCTGGCACTCAAAGCCTCAACTATTTCCTATCTGCCCTTTACAGCAGAAGTTTGCAGATTCCTGTTTAACTGTGGAAGGCTATCATATCAGTAATCGCTTCATATGCATACCAGTAATAATGGCTTATCCCTTAAGCCTGGTTCACTTGTTTCAAAAAGGAAAGAAATAAAGCATTCAAGGAAAGTACATTTAATTTTTTATTTTAAAAATCCAACTTCAGTTAGATTAACAGACTAGATTAGAACCTCAAATGTATTTGATACAGTATATACTGGATATCTATTACTAAAAAGCCAGTTGGAATATGACCTACACAAACCGAAGGTGGGTACAAAATGGAAGTAATCATCAAGCAATGACTGTTTTCCTTCCCACTGGTATCGACTGCCCTGTGGGGATTTATAGGTTCAAATTTGACACAGATGAAAAGCCCGACTGGGACTGCTTTTCTGCGTATACTCTCTTGTCCTTCAAAACAGAATTCCACGTTATTTGTTCCTT